ACTGTCTGTAACTCCATTTCTAGGGGATCTGGCGCCTGTGGGCAGTTAATGACACACATGCGCTTACATACGCACTGGCAATGCACATAAAATAAAAATAATAAAATATATTTTTAAAAAAGTGCTCTTAGCTGCTGAACCATTTCTCTAGCCCTGCTACTTCTTTTTTTTTCTTTTTTAAGATGGTGCAGGGGGGTCATCTCATATCCCAAGTTAGTCTCAAACTCAGTATGTAGTTTAGAATGACCTTGAACTTGTGATCCTCTTGTCTTTACTTCCCGAGTGTCAGAACTGGAGATATGCACCATCACACCCAGTTTATGTAGTGCTGGGAATTGAACCCAGGGCTTCATGGATACTAGGCAAACACACTACCAACTGATCTATATCCTCAGCCCCACTTTGCCTTTCTAAGGCAACCTATTCACAGCTTTTTGGATATCTTTCTTGCAGTGTTTATGTATATAAATATAGTCAGATTTAAATACAGTTCTTTATCTTTACATATAAATGTATTCAAAGTGTTTCTAGTCCTTTTTTCATAGATAATGTCAGCAAATAACCTTATACTTGTGTCATTATGCATGTATGCAAAAATATCTGTAGCATAAATTCTCAAAATTGATCAGGGGTACTAGGTGATCATAATTTTCATAGCTACCATCTAATTGGGAGGCAGAGGCAGGAGGATCTCTGTGAGTTCAAGGCCAGCCTGGTCTAAATAGCAAGTTCCAGGTCAGCTGGGGCTACTGGGAGACCCTGTCTCAAAAAGACTGAGAGAGAAAGAGAGAAAAGCCTACCTTAGAGTTTATACCAGTTTACATTAAAATTTTCTAAATCTGATAGATAAACAATAATAACTCTATTGTTGTTGTTTGAGATAGGGTCTCCCATTCTGTAGTTGAGGCTAGCCTGGAATGCTATGATCCTCCTACCTCAGCCTCCCAAGTGCTGGGATTCTAGGCATGAACCACCACACCTTACTTTAAATATTTTTTGCTTTGTTTCTATGCAATTTGAGGCTAGTTTCAAGCACTGTCCTCTTGCCCCAGCCTCCAAAGTACTGATGTTATAAGTATGTATACTTAAAATTAATGTATTTCTTTTTTCCTTTGTTTGCTTGTGTATTTGTTTAATGTAGTCCAAATGACTTCAAATTCTTTATGTAGCCAAAATGGCTTGATCTTCCTGCCTCTACCTTCAAACTGCTGGGATTACAGGTGTCTACTATACCCAGCTTCTCTTTTTAAGAATGAGAATGAGTTGAGGGGCTGGAAAGATGGGTCAGCAGTTAAGAGCACTGACTGTTCTTGCAGGGGACCCAGGTTTGAATTCCAGCACCTACATGGTGACAACTCCAATTCCAGGGGATCTAACGCACTCTTCTGTCCTCCACGGGCATTCCATGACACAGGTGCACCTAGATACATGCAGGTATAGCACTCATACACATAAAATTTTAAAAGTGAGAATGAGTTGAAAATGGTGATATGTTCCTTAATCCCAGCACTTGGGAGGTTGAAGCTAGAGGATCACTTATGCCAGGGAATTTGAGTTCAATATGGGCAACAAACTGAGACACTACCTCAGAATAATAATGATAAAGAGGGAGAAAGAGAATAGGTATATTCTTTTTTTAATGTGTATGAGTGTATTGCCTGCTTGTGTGTAAGTGCACCCATGCTGTACAGTGCCCGTGGAGATCAGAAGAGGGTGTCAGATCCCTTGGAACTGAAGTTATGGATAGTTGTTAGCCACCATGTAGGTGTGGGAACTGAACCCAGGTCCTCTGCAAGAGCAGCCAGTGCTCTTAACTGCTGAGTCATCTCTCCAGCCCCAGAATAGGTATCTTTTATTCCATGTATTATATGTGTGCACGCCACAGACACATATGGAGGTCAGAGATCAACTTATGGTAATTGGTACTCTCCTTCCACTATGTAGGTTCCTCCATTCCAGCTTGATAAAAGAATTATCCCATTTTTTTCTTCATTTACATTTTTAGTTGCCTCAAGTCTTTCATTCTTTTAGTATTTATCCTGGTGGACTGCATGACATATGGATCTAATTTTATTTTTTTCAAATGGCAACATAATCTTTTTCAAAAGTTGGTTTATTTTTATTTTTTGTGTATGAGTGTTTTATGTGCATGTATGTAAGTGCACCCATACATAAAATGCCTGTGGAGGCCAGAAGAGGGCATGTGATCCTCTGGAACTGGAGTTACCCCCCATGTGGATACTGGAATCCTGAACCTGGGTCCTCTGCAAGAGCAGCTATTGCTCTTAACCACTGAGCCATCTCTCCAGCCCCCACATAGTGTTTCTAATATGTTTGTTTGTTTGTTCATTTTTGTTGTTTTGCTTTTATTTTTATTTTGAGACAGGATGACACACACACACCCCCTCCCCCCGAAGCTGGCCTGAAACTCGTTATGTAGACGAGGCTGATCTGGAACTCACAGAGATCCACCTGCCTCTACCTCCCAAGTCCTGGGATTAAAGGCTTGCACCACTATACCCAGCACTTGTTCATTTACATGTTTTGGTTTTTAGCCTTAGCCTTTAACAGCTCTGCTATCCCTCCAGCCCTAATTCATTTATTTTTAAGATGGAGGTTTACTGTGTTGCTCAGGCTTGTCTTGAACTGAGTACAAATGATTCAATGATTCTTCTGGCCCAACCTCATGAGTGCTGGAATTATAGTTACACACCACCATGCTGGGATCCCACCACTATTTATTAAGTAGTTCATAGGCTGTATTTGTTTTTTTTTTTTTTTTTTTGTTTTTTTTTTTTTTTTTTTGGTTTTTTTGAGACAGGGTCTCCCTGTAGCTCCAGCTGGCCTGGAACTCACTTTGTAGACCAGGCTGGCCTTGAACTCACAGAGATCTGCCTGCCTCTGCCTCTGCCTCCCAAGTGCTGAGATTAAACCCTATTTGAGAAGCCAACTTTGGTTGAGTTTATTTGTCTGTTTCGTTTTGTTTTTGCCATTGTGGACGCTTTGCATAGCTTTCTTCTAATGAACCTGGCATGCAGTTTATAACCCTCTCAATTCATTGGTCAGTCAACTGCAAGTTCATATTTCAAGGATGTTCTTCAAGCTGGGCTTGGTGGTGCACACCTTCAATCCCAGCACTGAGGTGGCAAAAGCTGGCTGATCTCTGTAAGTTCCAGACCAGTCGGGTCTATATAGCAAGTTCCAGGAGAGGCAGGGTTACATGGTAAGACTCATAGCACTGGTGACTGCTATCTCAAGCCTGCACAAGCCCAAACCAGATGAAAACCTAACATGGATGGGAGTGGTCCGGGGGATGGACTAACACCCAGGAGCATTTGGGGAACACAAATTAGACTCGATAGACCTTAAAAAATAATAGTAAAGGATATGTAGTTGTAGTTGGGGGGCTGGTGAGATGGCTCAGAAAAGCAGTTAGAGCACTGGCTGCTCTTGCAAAGGACCCAGGTTCGGTTCCCAGCACCCACATGGGGGCTAACAACCCAGTTCCAGGGAAATTTGATGCCCTCTTCTGACCTCCATGAGTATTGCATGGCTTACACTTACACACATGCAAGCAAAGCACTCATATACATAAAATAAAAATAATTGTTTTTTTAAAAAAGATATGAAGTGTTGGGGAATAGTGGGATGAGGGTGGGCTGGGAGAAAGGACCTAAATATGATCAAAACACATTGTATGAAATCCTCAAAAAAATCAGCCAGGTGTGGTGGCACACACCTTTAATCCCGGCACCTGGGAAGCAGAGGCAGGCAGATCTCTGAGTTCAAGGCCAGCCTGGTCTACATAACGAGCTCTGGGCCAGCCGAGTCTACAGGGAGACCCTGTCTCAAAAAGACCGAAAAATAAACAAGTATGTTCTGGGCTGGAGAGATGGCTTAGCAGTTAAAAGCGCTGACTGCTTTTGTAGAGGACCCAAGTTTGATCCCAGGCACTCACATGGTGGCTAACAGCCATCCATAACTCCAGTTCTAGAGGAATTCAGTGCCCTCTTCTGACCTCCAAGGGCATTTCATGACATGGGTACAAACAAGCAGGCAATATACTCCTACATAAAAATAATAAAATATTTTTTATAAAGGATGTTCTTGCATCTGGTAAGGAATGCTATAAAACTTGAGAGAAAGTCAGTGCTTCAAGTCACAAACTAGTCATGGTTGTCTGTAATCTTTATTTTTAGTAAACTTAATCAAAATTCATTATATGAGAACCTCATTGTATATCTTCAGATTTTTCCACAGAGTGAAGTGTAATTACGAAATGCTCATTCAAATATCACTAAGTGTAGTGGAGCACACTCAGAATCCTAGCACTTTGGAGGCAGAGGGTAGTGGATCTCAAGTTCAAGGCCAGTCTGAATTGCAGAGTTAGATTTTGTCTCAAAAAACCAAGGGCCTCAGATATAACTGATGGTAAAGCACTTGCCAAGCATGTTAAAAACACCTGGGTTCAATCCTTAGCACCATCAAAAAAAAAACTCAATACAGCGTTTGTGTGGCATGTATGAAGCCCTGGGTTCCAGCACTAAAAAAAATTGTGAGCCAGCAAGATAGTTTTACCAGCTAAAGTTGCTTGCATCTAAGTCTGACAACCTAAGTTCAATCTCCAGAGTCCACGTGGTGGAAGGAGAAAACTGACTTCCTATAAGTTGTCCTCTAACCTCCATATACTCTGTGACATGTAGGCTATGTACCTACATACACAAATAAATGTCTAAAAAATGTTTTAATTATTATAAAATGTTTACTACATCATGCCTAAATAAGGACTTATTTATTCATTTCATGGTATGTATTGATATCTTTTGAAGCAAAATTATTTCAGTGGTGAAACTGAAGACCAACTTATTTTAGCTGTAGATTCTGCAGAACTCTGAATAAACACAATTTGTGTGGCTGTTATCTAGGACAAGATTCTTTGACTACCTTCATTGTGTTTGGAGACCTTGTAAGTCACAAAGTTATCTTCTCTGTCTTTGCAGTCGGCCCACTTTATCTATTCAGCATCCACCATCTGCAGCCATTAGTATCCAGCGTCCTGCCCAGTCCCGTGATGTAACAACAAGAATCACACTACCATCTCATCCTGCATTAGGGACACCAAAACAGCAGCTCCACACAATGGCTCAGGTAAAAACGGAGGTGAAGAACCCCTATGGGATTCTTCGTGGAATAAGCTAGAATCATGCTAACTTGCCACAGTCCTGGCAGTACGAAGTTAGTGAGCACTTTTAGACTGGATAGAATAGAAGGTGTTCTGTTTATAACTGTGTCAACACAACCACCTTACCACCCCCCCCCCCCCCCCCCCCGGCCCTCCAACAGAAAACCATCTTCAGTACTGGCACACCAGTGGCTGCAGCTACAGTAGCACCTATTTTGGCAACCAACACCCTTCCTTCAGCAACCACAGCCGGTAAGTCATTTGATCCTGCTCTTCTCTGTATCAGACAAAATGAAGGCAGAAGTGGTAAGTTAATTTTTCATTTTAACCTTCAGAGGAATATGGTGGCTAGAAAAACTTTTCTTTCCCCCAAGAGCTCTTCCAAGGCTTTTTTAGAATCTATAACGTGTGCAGAGAGATTGCTGTTATAACATTTCGTTTTTACCCTCTTTTCAGGATCTGTGTCGCACACACAAGCTCCCACAAGTACAATTGTTACCATGACAATGCCCTCCCATTCATCCCATGCCACTGCTGTGACCACCTCAAATATCCCAGTTGGTAAGTGTTACGCATTTTCATGCAGAAGCCTGTGAGGAATTTTCAGTCTCTATAGGACCACGCCTTCATGTCAAAGGTGATGGGATTGTTCTCTTGTTGATTTTCAAAACAACTCTGAATTTGACTTTTATTTATTTACTTATTATTTGTGTGTGTATATGTGTGTGTGCATTTTCATTGTGTGCATATGTGCATGCATGCAGGCCTGTGTACAGGTGTGTGTGTGTATCTGTGCAAATACATGTGTGTGTGTGTGTGTAGGTCAGGCTGACATTGGGTACTGTTTTCTATGACTCTCCACCTTATTTTTTGACACAAGGTCCTTCACTGAACCTGGAGCTCCCTGTTTAGGCTAGGCTGATCGGCCAGTGATCCTCAGGGATCTGTCGCCATCTCCCCAGTGCTGGGATTATAGGAACACACTACTATGCCCAACTTTTTATATGGGTTCTGGGGATCCAAACTCAGGCACTCATGCTTCAAAGCAAGCACCTTTCCTAAACTAAACCATCTCCCCAAGGACCGAACTCGGGTTGTCAGGCTTGGTAGCAAGTACCTTTTTCTGCTGTGCATGTTGCCAGTCTTCATTTGACTTCTTTCATCATCAAACCATACCCCACCTGTATGTTGTATTGAAAGAAGTTAACTTGACTGACATAGTTGGAAAAGAACGGCAGGAGAGACTGTTCACGAAACTCTCTGAATGATGTGGCAGTGGGAAAAACACTAAACTTGAGTTGGTCACCTTTTTTTCATTTGCATGCTACCCCAAGGTGCTTCATAGCCATCCTTTTCACCCTCAGATTTCATCTGAGTGCTACCCCAGGATGCTTCATAACTGTTCTCTACTTCTAAACTCTGCTTATTCCCTTTTGAAGTGTTTGTATACTTCAGATATTAAAAATCTATTGCACATTTCTGTCAGCTAGTCAGTAGGAGCAGGAATTGGCTTATTTTTCTGTAAGTATATAATTTAGGCTTTGTAAGCACATGCACATGTGCTCACACAGAAGTCAAAAGGCAACCTGGGAGTGTAGTTTCTCTCCCTCCACCATATGGATCCTAGAGATCATCAGGCTTGGTGGCAGGTTCCTTTACCCATTGAGCCATCTATCTGGTCCCAAAATTTTGTGGCTCCTTTTGTGTCCTAAAAGCTGCCATGGACCACATGTAGACGAATGGGAATGACTGTTCCAATAAAACATTACTTAGGAGCTGAGTGTGATGCTCAGACCTGTAATTTGCACATTTGGGAGGCTGAGGCAGGAGGTTTGCCATATGTTTGAATTCAACCTGAAACACTGTCTCAACAATAATCAAAAGACACTTCTTAAGATCATAGAAATTTGAATTTCATACCATTTCCACTTACCTTTTGAATTTTTTATTAAGACATGTTTTCTCCAGGCATGGTAGCCAGCTGGTACTACAGGGAGACCCTGTTTCAAACACACCAAAAAGAAAAAAAAAACGTAGCCGGCAGGCATGGTGGCGCACACCTTTAATCCCAGCACTCAGGAGGCAGAGGCAGGTGGATCTCTGTGAGTTCAATGCCAGCCTGGTCAACATAGTGAATTCCAGGACAGCTGGGGATACAGGGAGACCCTGTCTCAAAAAGACCAAAAAAAAAGACCTGTTTTCACTGTATCTCAGGCTGGCAGTGATCTTACAGTCCTCCTTGCTCTGCTTCTCTGCCTCCTAAGGACTGGGATTATAGACAGGCTCCACACTATGCCCAGCTCCCTTGGTCATTTAAAAATGTAAATTCCTGGGGCTAGAGAGATGGCTCAGCAGTTAAGAGCACTGACTGTTCTTGCAGAGGGCCCGGGTTCAATTCCCAGCACCCACATGGCACCTGACAACCGTCCTTAACTCCAGTTCTAGGGACATCCTCTTCTGACCCCCACAGACATTGCAAAACATGGGTGCACTTACATACCTGCAGGTAATACCTGCATGCACAGAAAATAAAAATAATAAAAAAATTTTTAATGTAAATTCATTCTTAGCTTAAATCCATACAGAAATAGGCAGGAGGATAAATTGGTCTGTGGACAGTAGTTACTGAGGTCATTAGAACGTGTCTCCTTGCCGCCAGAATACTGCTCTCTGGCCCATGAGCCACAGGTTTTGGCTTCTAGTGTTTTCTGTTTTGTTTTTTTATGATGAATATGTCATCTTACTATTCTCTACTCTCAATGATAGAAGACAAGTGGCACTATTTTTAACATAATGCATTTTTAGAAGAAAGAGTGCTTTTTATGAAGATACCCTGATGTGCTAAACTGTCAGGAATCTGGTGGCCTGACACAGAAGTGCGGTTCCCCATATGAGCTGTTCTTTCTTCCTTTTACATGAAACAGACTACAGCTCCCCAGCCTCCTCAGTAAACCTTGAGGATACTTTTGTGGAGTAATAGAAGTCTCCATTCCTCTTGTAGGTAAGCAAGCCATACCAGCACTTAAGTATGGGCTTGCCCCACAGGAGGTCTTTAAGCAGAGAGAACACTGTTGTTGACCTTTCTCAGGTTGCTGCTCACCTTGACTTGTTTGTGGATACAGTAACATCTGTGTGCGTGTGTGTGTGTGTGTGTGTGTGTGTTTTCAGTTCACTCCTTCTACCTTGTGGGATCTGAGGATCAAACTCAGGTTATCAGACTTGTGGGGCTAGCTCCTTTACCATCTGAGCCATTTTACAAGCCCCATCTTATTTTTTAAGTCAAGGACCTGGGTTCAGTTCCCAGAACCTGTGTTAGGGAGTCTGGTGTGTTAGCACACACTTGTAATCCCAGTGCTGGGAAGGTAGAAACAGGTAGATCCCAGAGCTTGCTGGCCAGCCAGCCTATCCCTATTTCTTTAATCCCTTATATTCTAAGAGGTGATGATCTGATCTGCTTGTTGTAAAATACCAACTTTGGGGGTTAGAAAGTAGTAGATCTAGATGTGGTCTTCAGGAGACAAAAGACAGAGATTCTACAACTCTGCAGTGCTGTCCCCATCACCGTTAGCCTTGGTGCCTTAGTGGACCTGCTGAGGCTTCGAAATGGAAGAGGAGGCTAGACAACGAGCGCTATTTCCAAGTAGGCTAGGCTAGCTGGTCAGCAAGACCCAGGGATCCTCTTGTCTCTGCTCCTCAATTGCTGGAATTACAAGCTTGGCCTACCCTGCTCAGCTTTTTTACATTGATTCTGAGACTCAGACTCAGGTCCTCAAGCTTGCTCAGCAATCAGTCTCCCCAGCCTCTGATTTTATCTTGTTAGTTCACTCTTGGGAGCCCTCCAAAAGCTAAAAGGCATGTTTGCTGAACTTGTTTTAATCTCCCTTTGACAAATAACAATGTAAGTAGATTGAAATAACTTAGTTGAACCTTTTGTACTCTTATTTCTTGTTTTGCTTGTTTTTCTTGGTTGGTTGATTTTGGTTCTAGTGTTGTGTGTTGTTGAGATAGCATCTTGCCTTATAGCCCTAGCTAGCTTTGATCTCAAAATCCTCCATCGTCTGCCTCCAGGGTGCCAAATTGCAGGTGTGTACCAATGCCAAATCTTGGCTTTTAAAACTGTTTACATTTGTCTGGGTGTGGTGGCACATGCCCGTAGTCCCAACACTTGGGAGGCAGAGGAAGGCGGATCTCTGTGAGTTCAAGGCCACCTTGGTCTACATAGTTCCAGGCCAGCTGGGGCTACTGGGAGACCCTGTCTCAAAAGACCAAAAAAAAAAAAAAAAAGTCTACATTTGGGGCTAGCAAGATGGCACAGCTAGTAAAGATGCTCGCCACACAAGCCTGACAGGTTTGATCCCCAGAACCCACATAAAGATGGAAAGAGAGAACTGACACCACAGAGTTGTTGGCTGACCTCCACATGTTCACAATGGTACATGTGCCCACACATGCACATGATACACACATAAATAATAATAAACTTCGCATTTGTAAAAATATTGCTAGCTATGTTTGGCTTGCCAGGGACAGGCCATGAGTAGTAATAGAATTGGTGCACTATTGTTTGTAGCTAAGGTGGTGCCACAGCAGATCACACACACTTCTCCTCGGATCCAGCCTGATTACCCTGCAGAGAGGAGCAGCCTGATTCCCATTTCAGGACATAGGGCCTCTCCAAATCCTGTGGCCATGGAAACCCGAAGTGACAACAGGTAGGAGGCAATGTGCCAATTACTTTGATCTGTTGTGTTCTTGTTTTGAATTTTCCATAAAACAGAATGTCTCACAAATATAGCATGTATATATTTTTCATATTTCCCCCTGAAAATAACACATGTATTCTATTTTAGTGTTATGAAAATGTAATGTTTTTATTAAACCATTGTTCTTCTGATAGATGTTCTCCTAGGATCCATTTCTTTGGTATGTTTTTTTTTTTTTGTTTTCAGGTTTGGATTTTTTTTCACTTTCTTCCATTTTATGTGTATGAGTGTTTTGCCTGCATATATATTAAGTATACCATGCAGTGCCTGCAGGGACCAGAAGAGGGCATCAGATTCCCTGGAACTGGAGTTATCCACCATTGTTAGCCTCCTTATGGGTGCTGGGAACTGAACCCTAGTCCTCTGCAGAAGCAGGCAGTATTCTTAATTGCTGAGCCATCTCTCCAGACCCTTTTTAAACCATTTTAAAGTACAGATTGTAAGATTATAACCTTGTATCCATGAGTACTCAGCATCAGAAAGCATCTGCTAGCTATTTGTCCTGATTTAGTAGGTTAACAATTAGTTAATGAAGGTGATGTTCGGTGATCTTTGTCTATTGAAAAGGCACATATTTTTTTTCTTTTGTGAATAATCTATATGGAAATACTTGTTTTTTTTGTTGGTGATGCTGTTTTTTTGGTGGTGGTAGTGGTGGTTTTGTGTGTGTATATGTATGTGTAATTTTTTTTTAATAGCAAGAAATTTTATTCAGAAGTGAATGTGCAAAGCCAGTATTCCCCAAGGGTTCCAGACTGTGGGCTTGCTTTAGGGGTTGGTTTTTTGGTTTGGGGATTTTGTTTGGTGTGGTTTGGTCTTTTTTATGTTTATGTGCACGAGTGTTATGCCTGCATGTACGTAAGTGCACCTATGTTGTGCAATACTCACAGAGGACAGAAGAGGATGTCAGATTCTCTGGAACTGGAGTTATGGATGGCTGTTAGCCACCATGTGGATACTGGGATTTGAACCCTGGTCTTCTGGAAAATCAACCAGTGCGCTTAACCACTGAGCCATCTCTCCAGCCCCATAGGTCTTTTTGAGACAGGGTCTCCTCATAGCATCAGCTGTTCCGAAACTCAGTAAGTACATAGACCAGGCTTGTCTTGATCTCACAGAAACCTACCTGCCTCTGGACCCAGAGTGATGGGATTAAAGGTGTGTGTGTGTGTTTGATCAGCCTGCACATACAGATTTGGTTTCATTCATTAGCATCATAGGAATTTATCCACCCACACCCCCCCATACCCCCATCTTTTTGAAACAGTCTCCCTGTAGCCCCAGCTGGCCTGGGAACTCGCTCTGTAGAGTTGGCTAGCCTTGAACTCACAGAGACCCGCCTGCCTCTGCCTCCCAAGTGCTGGGACTACAGGCGCGCGCCACCACACCCAGCCTAGGAATGTATTGCTCTTTTAAAAAGGCTTTTACTCTTTGCTGTCATCCATTTTGGAGTTTAAGTGGTCTCCCTTGGGGGCCCCTTAAGACCATTTCCATGTGTTTCCCTTCCATTCTAGCCCCTTCTTATTTTTCCATCACAACACACCCCACATCTTACTGAGCCCAGAAATCTGCTTATTTTCCAAGGGGCCTTTGATTATTTAGAGACCTGCATGTAAGCATTACTGTAACTTTGTGATTGTCATTCTTCTGTGCCCTTGCTGCAGATAGTCAGAAGGTGGTAGTATTTTTAAACTAGGATATTTGAGTACATGCTAATGCCTCCAGTTCAGCCCCAATCCATATTTGTATTCCTTCCCCACAGTGTGACTCCTACAGGAATGGTATGGTTTTAATATAGTGTTTATTTCCATCTACCTAGCTAAACATACTTTTTAGCTCTAAACATTTGGATTTTCTTGGATTTCCTATGTAGATGTGTACATTTTTATGTACACATAGGCAGGAAAGTTTGTGTGTTTGTTTGTTACAGATTGGCAACATCTTTTCATTGCCATTGCATTTTCATTTCTTTCGGGAAGGCAGCTAGAGCTTGCAGTGCAGTGTTTGTAAAGATGGTGAGCTTCCTTGTCTCTTTCCTGCCTTGAATGGGAATTCTGAAATTTCTAGTCCTATTTTTGGCTTTCATTTCATGAAAAGTTAAGAATGCTATTAGAGATAGATAGGTAGGTAGGTAGGTAGGTAGGTAGATAGATAGATAGATAGATAGATAGATAGATAGATAGATAGATAATCTTTTTAATATTTCAAATGGTTGCTCTCTGTGAATTTTTTTTAAATATGAGCATGAATAGAAATTCTGGTGTTGACTCATTCTTGTTAGAAACTTTGATTATGGTGTATCTAGTTTGTGTGGTGCTCAATTCAGTTTTTTTGTTTTTCAATTCAGTTTTATGTAGGAATGTTTGTGTCTTAATTATAGAGAATGAGAGGTATCCTTTTTTTTTTTTTTCGGTCTTTTTGACACAGGGTCTCCCTGTAGCCACAGCTGGCCTGGAACTCACTATTTTATTATTTTATGTGTATGAATGTATTGCCTGCATGTATGTGAGTACACCCATGTCATGCAGTGCCCATGGAGATCAGAAGAGGGCATCAGATCCCCTAGAACTGGAGTTATGAATGGTTGTTATCCATCATGTGCTGGGAACCGAACCACTGAGCCATCTCTCCGATCCCTATCATCTTTTATCATCTTTTTTGGTATCAAGACTATATTAAGTTAAAAAACGAGTTGGATCTCATATTTTCTAGTCTCTGAATTGGTTTGTATGAAATTATGATTTTCTGTTTTACATCTATTTCATTAAATTTTCCTGTAAAAACAATATAAGCTTTGTGTATTTCAAGTGGAATTAAGCAAGGAGGCTTTTGTGTACAGAGTATGAGTAAAGGGTCTTACTATGTTGCCCAGGCTGATCTCAAACTCTGGTTCAAATGATCCTCCCACCTCCAATTCCTGACTACTAGGATTTCGTAGTTTGTTTTAGTATTTCTCTCAAAAATCATCCATAAAATATTAACCTTTTTTTTTTTTTTGCATGTATTGACATAGGTAGTAATCATTTACTTGTTTACAGTTTCTTGGTTTTTCCTGTGATGTAAAGATGAGACACGGTTTGGGAGATGCTGATAATAGCATTGTGAATGATGTCAAGAGGATCTGGAGGATAATATCATTTGAATTGAAAGAAGAAAATAACTTGTTTCATATAATCTCCTGTGTTTCTAGACCATCGGTTCCTGTTCAGTTCCAGTACTTTTGTTTGAATTGAAAGAAGAAAATAACTTGTTTCATATAATCTCCTGTATTCTAGACCATCAGTTCCTGTTCAATTCCAGTACTTTTTGCCAACTTACCCACCTTCTGCATACCCGCTGGCTGCACACACCTACACCCCTATCACCAGTTCCGTGTCCACTATCCGACAGTACCCAGGTATGAACCCTCACTTCTAAGATGACTTCATACATTGTCATTATTGTCAGCAATGAGAAAAAAATTGATCAGAGTATTTCTGAAAGGAGGTATAATTATTCCAGCTTCTTCCCAGATTCAGAAAAGACTAGCCTTTAATCTTTGTGAGCTGTCTTTATGATCTGTGTTAGGGATGTTAGTGGTATTTGGATGGTTTTAGCCTGTCCTTAGAATAATTCACGTTGGCAGGCTGGAGAGATGGCTCAGCAGTTAAGAACACTGACTGTTCTTGCAGAAGACCTGGGTTCGAATCCCAGCACCCACATTGCAGCTAACAGCTGTCCATAACTCCAGTTCCAGGAGATCCAACAGCCTCTCTGTCCTCCGCGGGCATTGCACAACACAGGTGCACTTACCTACATGCAGGCATAACACTCATACACACAAAATAAAAATAATAAATGAAAAAAATTTTTAAATAATCATGTTGGTAATTTTTGTTACTAATCATGTTAATTTTGTTAAAATGGCAGTTTCTATGAATAAAACTATGTAATCTTACAGGGATTTTGTTGGTTTGTAGAGCACCTGTTGTATTTTTATTTTAGTCCTAGTATGTTTAGGTCTCACCAACTTGATTTGTAAATACTGAGCTTTTGGCTATTCCAGAAGAAATTCTTCTTCATTTTATTTTATGGATACCCATGGAGGTCAGATAGGGGCATCAAATCCCTTGGAGCTGGAGTCACAAATGAGTCAGCCACCCAGTGTGGATACTGGGATCCCAATTCTGGCCCTCTAATAGAGTACTAAGTACTCTTGACTGCTGAACCATCTCCCAGCCCTAAAAAAAAATTCATAACTTTGAGTTTGTATAATTTTTTTCAGAACCAGAAAGCCTTTACCAGATTGTGATTCAAGTGTAGGGGGATATATGTCTGCAAATTCCAGCACTCAGGAAGCTGAGGCAAGGGGATCACAAATTCAAGATCAGGTTCTTTGCATGACCCTGTCCAAAAACATTTTTAGGGCTAAGGATGTAGCTCAGCTGGTTGAATGCTTCCCTAGCATGCACAAAGCCCTGACTTTGGTCCCTAGCTATGCATAAACTGAGCATCATGCTATATGCCAGTAATCCCAGCACTAAAGAGGTAGAGGCAGGGGCATCAAAAGTTCATGGTCATCCTCAGCTAGATAGCAAGTTTGAGGCCAGCCTGGGATACAGCAGACCTTGTCTCAAAAAACAAAAAACACTGCCAAGCTTGACAAACTGACTTCAATCCACAGGACCCATATGTGGTGGAAGAAGAGAACTGACTCATGAATGTAGGTTCCCACAGAGCTAGAGTCAGGCAGCTTTGAGCCTCCCAACATGGGTACTGGGAAACAAACTAGGGGTCCTCTGCAAGAGAAACAAATGCTCTTAACCACTGAGCCATCCATCTCTCCAGACCCCTCTTTTATTTTTCTAATATGGTTACTGAAAAATTGAAAATTGCATGTGACTTTATATTCCCATTAACCAATGCTGGCCTAAAATTTCAAGCATTTAAAAACATTTAATAGTTTTAGAACTGAGTTCCTACCTTGATTGCTCTGATGACTGATAAGATTAGCCTTTTTGCATATGTGGTGCTGGGACTGTAACCCAGGGCCTTTCACATGCTATTCAAGTACTCTACTACTGAACTCTACATTCTTAGCCCTAAGAATAATAATTTGTATTTTATTTTATTTTCTCAAATAGTAAGGAATTCTGCTTTTGTTTTGAATCAGTAGGTAGAATTGCATTGTAGGTAAAGAGATCCTTCTCTTTATCTCCAGCAGGTATGAGCCATTGGGACTCTGACCTACCTACTAGATTTCAGAAGGGCCTATAGTAGTGGTTTTGCCAGTTAAAGCAGATTGTTTGAGCTGGTACCCATGGTTTGTTTCAGAAGTTTTATATTAATTTTTTAGCACAGTTGTCTAGCTAATATTTATAATTAACAGATTAAAATGTACCCTTTATGAGACAGATTCTTACACTCTAGTCCAAGCTGTTTTAGAACTCACTATGAAGACCAGGCTAGCCTCAAACTCACAACCTCCTGCTTCATTCTCCTCTATGCTGGGATTGTAGACATGAGCCTAGCTAATTTTAATGTATTTCTGACAATTTGCAGAAAGACTATGTCAGATTGGTAGGCAATGAAAGGGAAAGCAATCCCCAGTAGATAGTTTTAAGAGTTTTAAGAAGCAATTTAAGTAGCAGCTGAGGATTGAACCCTGAGCCTAGTACATTCTAGGTGTATTAGTTTTTTGTTTGTTTGTTGTTTTGCTGTGATAAAATACCATGACCAAGAGCATCTTATAGAAGAAAAAGTTTATTTTGGCTTACTGTTCCTGAGGAAGAGTCCATAATACCTGGGGAGGCCTGGCAACAGGCAGTCAGAGCAGGAAGCTGAGAGAGCACTTCTGAGCCACCAACACAAAGACATCATGAACTAGAAGTGGAGTGAGGCTGTGGACTCTCAGAGACCACCCCCAGTGACACACTTCCTCTAGCAAGGCTATACTTCCTAAACCTCCCCAGACAGCACCACCACCTAGGGACCAATTGATCAAATATCTGAGCCTGTGGTAACATTGCTCATTCAAACCACTACACTATGTAAAAGTGCTCTGTCACTAATACCGCCAACCCCATAGTTTGTTTTTGGTTTTGTTCTGGGTTTTTTGTGGATTTTTTGTTTGTTTTAGTTTTGGTCTTGGTCTTTTTAAGACAGAGTCTCCCTGTAGACCTATCTGGCCTGGAACTCGCTATGTAGACCAGGCTGGCCTTGATCTCACAGAGATCCAGCTCTGTCTGCCTCCTAAGTGCTGGGCTTAAAGGCATGCACCACCAAACCCAGCTCTGTGTTTCGTTTTTTAAGCCAAGGATTTAGACTAAGCTTACATAGTGAGAAAACTGTTCGTTTTATCATCTTTCTTCGATGTGTGGACTGTGTCTAATTAATTTTATCACTTTTCTTCATTTGTGGAACTGACCTTTTGCATCATTTTCAGTTTCAGCTCAGGCTCCAAACTCCACCATCACAGCTCAGACTGGTGTGGGGGTAGCATCTACAGTCCACTTGAACCCCATGCAGTTGATGACAGTGGACGCTTCTCATGCTCGACATATCCAAGGGATCCAGCCAGCACCCATCAGTACCCAGGGAATCCAACCAGCTCCCATTGGGACACCAGGGATCCAGCCGGCACCAATTGGCACACAGGGAATCCACTCAGCAGCCCCAATCAGTACACAGGGGCTTCAGCCGGCAACAATGGGCACCCAGCAGCCACAGCCTGAAGGAAAGACCTCAGGTAAATTAACTCTTTGGTGAAAAAAAGAAGCCAGCTGTATGGCTTAGCAGGTAAAAGTGCTTACCACCAAGTCAAACAACCTGAGTTCAATCCTCAGGACCCACGTGGTTGAAGGAGAAAAATCACTCCCTCAAATTCTCCTCTTGGGTACGAATAAATGAGTAAAAAGTAATTTTAAGAGTTAAAAGTAAATAAGTAAATTTAACTCTCTGCATGGAAAAAGTACACCTGGGTTTTAATCTTGGCCCTGCCACTTTCTGGCTTTGTGGCCTTGGATAATTCCTCCAGACCTTAGTTTTGTATTTGTAAGATGAGTTGCTTAGAGCTTACTTTACAAGTTCATTGTAAACATTAGAAATGGCATGTGTGGACAGCCTAATCTGCATTTACACTCAGGGTAAAGAGTTCTATAAAAACTCAAAAGGAGTTAGAGCTACCATAATAAGTAGTGTTCCCACTCTGTTTTCCATTTTCTTTTGAGTTGTATGTAAAATCTCTCTTTTTATTTATTTATTTATTTTTATTTTGTGTGTATAAGTGTTATACCTGCATGTAAGTGCGCCCATGTCATGCAATGCCCGTGGCAGACAGAAGAAGGAGTTGGATCCCCTTGAACTAGAGTTATGGATGGTGGTTAGCTGCCATGTGGGTGCTGGGATTCAAACCTGGGTCTTCTGTAAGAACAACCAGTCCTCTTAACCACTGAGCCATCTCTCCCAGCTCCAAAGCTGTAAAATTTTAATGTTACCTGGTATTGTCATTGTGCAGATATGAGTAAACTAGGCATTATATAAAATGAAATGATTCCTTGTGCTTGGAGTATTAACTATTTTCTTTGATGTATTTTCAGAAAGACAGGGTGTAGTAGCACAAACCTGTAATTTCATCTCTGGATGGTTGAGGCAAGAGAATAGCAAATTTGGGGCCAGCCCTACCTACACAGGATTTGCTTTGGGGGCAGGGAAAGGATAGGAGGAACACTAGTATATAGCTCATACATATAATCCCAACACTAGAGAAGCAGATTCAGGAGGATCATCTCAAGTTGAAGGCCAGCCTGGGCTATCTAGCAAGATCCTGTCTGTGGGGGGGGTAGGAACAGAAAAGATTATTTTTCAGCTTGGATAGTCATCTTAAAAATTCTCATTTATATTAACTAACATTTTAATTGCCATATAGATCTAGAATTTAAAATAAAATGTTGGCAGAGCCTTAAGTAAATGACTATCATAGAGGTACAATTTGCCCATAATGGATCACCTGGAAAGATGTTATACTCTTTTAATAGCTCTTGCTAGGAAATTGATTTTGGTGATTCCTATAAATTTGCCATTTTTATAGCAATAACTGTCACACATGAGTAATCTTCAGTTATGGTTTTATGATCACTAGTATTTTAAGTTGGCTTTCTTGTTTTTTGGTGGGGGTTTTTTTTTGGGGGGGGGCTATTGTTTTAAATCAGAGTCTCACTATGTAGTCCTAGCTAGCCTCTGCTTCCTGAGGGCTAGGATTAAAGGTGTTCACCACCATGCCTAGCTGGTCACTAGTATTTTGATGCTAGCTTTTAAGAGTATAGTTAAAATAACTGTTTTCCTAAAAATTGACAGGAGTCTGGACATTTTTGAAGGCTAAAGAGAAATATTATTTCACAGAAATTACCTTAATGTATTTCTTGAAGGGTGTTTGGATCATGTTATCAAGCCAGGAGATCATGTTTTCTCTCTTGTGGTAGCTCTTCCTTTTATTAGCTTTCCTGACTGTCAGTTTTCCCATTTCTGCGGTAATGATTATAGTAAATATTGTGATAAAAAGCCCAAGGTTAGCTAGTAGAATGGGTACACTGTGTGCCTCTGTGTATTGGGTATATCACATTTATTAGTGTGATCGTAAAGGAACAAAAAGATAATGGTATTGGTCTTCGTTGGTAGTTTTGGTGACCTTCCCCTCTGGCCTTGTAGGAAAATGAGCACTGTATTCTGGTTCTTAAATGTCTTATCCTTTTTTTGGCCTTGCTAGGCATGATGGCTAATTTTGAGGAGTTTCCTCCTTCAGATTGACCTATGGGGCATGTCTGTGGGGCATTTTCTTGATTGCTAATTGATGTAGGAGGGTCTAGACCACTGTGGGCAGTGCCATCCCTGGGCAGGCAGGCCTGGACTATATAAAGAACGGTAGCTGAACAAGCCAGGGGAAGCAAGCCAAGTAAGCAGTGTTCCTCAGTGGTCTCTCCTTTAATTATCCAGGTTCCTGCCTTGGCTCCCCTTGATGATGGACTGTCACCTATAAGCTGATGAATAAACTCATTTCTCCCCCAGGTTGCCTTTGATTGTGGTGTTTATCACAGCAACAGAAAAAGTAGGACAGAAGTTGGTACCAGGAATGTGGAATTTTGCTGTGATAGATTTATGTTGGGGGAGGGCAGAGAGATTGTGGAGGCATTTGGAACTTTGGGGCTGGGAAAAAAAAAAAAAACCTTTGAGTTCTCAGAGCTTAATGAGCTATTGCTGTGGGAGCTTGAAATAGTTGTGCTGAGAGAAATGAAAGATAGAGGCCTGGCTTGTGAGAGTTCTGTGTGAAATTTAAGAGTCCTAGCAAGGCTATTTGTGTGATATATTTGAATTAAGAATATGAGAAAAAAAAAAATTTGTGAGCTGGGTGTGGTGATGCATACCTTTAGTACCTGTACTCAGGAGGCAGAGGCAGGTGAATCTCTGTGATTGAGACCCTGTATCAAAAAAAAAAAAACATGAAGGGCTGGAAAGATGGCTCAGTGGTTAAGAACACTGGTTGTTCTTGCAGAAGACCCAGATTTGTATCGCAGCACCCACATGGCAGCTAACAACTGTCTATAACTCCAGTCCCAGGGGATCTGACAGCCTCTTCTACCTCCTCAGGCATGGCATGGCAGCATGGGTGTTCTTACCTACATGCAGGCAATACACGTATACACATAAAATAAACATAAATTTTTAAAATTTTTTTTTTAATTAAAAATAAAAATAATATGTGGAAGTGAAACTTTCTTTGCTTTGCTGGGACATTGGATGCCAATCAGCTGGTGCTTCAGTTCTTGCTTCCAGATTCTTGCCTTGAGTTCCTGCCTTGGCTATCCTCAATGATGGACTGTAAGCCATGGATGAAACAAATCCTTTCTTCCCCAAGTTGGTTTTGGTCTGTGTTTTATCACAGCAACAGAAAGCAAATCAGGATACTAGGGATCAAACCCAAGGTCTCAAACATAATAGCTATGTGCCCTACCACTGAGTCACACCTCCACCTGCCCTAATTCTCTTAAAGTGTGGGGCATTTATAACATGGATACCTAATGCCAATGGTCTAGTTGTTACTGTGTGTGTCTTATGTGACAGTCCACTAACATTGCCTCTGTTTCTCTTTTTGTCCACACCTACTCTCCTTCAGCAGTGGTGTTAGCAGATGGAGCCACAATTGTAGCCAACCCTATTAGTAATCCATTCAGTGCCGCTCCAGCAGCAACAACTGTGGTGCAGACCCACAGTCAGAGCGCTAGCGCCAACACACCAGCCCAGGGCTCCTCCCCTCGGCCAAGCATACTCCGAAAGAAACCAGCCACAGATGGGTGAGTAGACTCTGAAATGCCAAATGACACCTCTAGTTCTGAACATACTTGGTATAAACAGTAGCTTCTCTCACATCTAATGAAACAACCTAATCTCATCTCTGTTGACACTTCAAAATTTCCTCACTTTAACCACAGAATTGCTCAGTAAGCCTTGCCCTGCTCAGACTAGGATATTTAAGAATCTTCCAAAACCAGGCATAGTGGTGCATTTTTTATTTATTTATTTTTTTTTTACAATTAAAGTTACAGTTTTAACAATATACAAAATGTTACAGTAATTCAGATTTTTTGGCATAATGATTACAGATTTGATAAATACATTTTATATCTCATAATAGCGATGAAGATTATACAAAAGCTATTAAAACAATTATGAGAATAAATTCTATCGTCACTTAAATATCTAAAGCTATTTTCCTTTGAGTTCTTCCAGAATGATTTGTTCTTATTCTTTACCTTAATTTGAGGGACTTCAAGAAAATACTTGTTTTGTTTTTGTTTTTGTTTTTGTTTTTTTTCATACAGAAGAATTCATTCCAAGGCAACTGACATTGAGACGTTTTCACATGCATTTCTAATCTCTATATACATGACTATCACTGGTCACAGTCGCCCACCTTCTGAGCTCCTCGGCATCTGAGCATGAATACAAACTCGTCAGATA